CTTACCAAGTATCAGCTTTTATGCTCAGAGCTAACCAGACCGTTCCTCTCCTACTGAAACGCATACTGTGCCAAGGTATCGTTCATGACTTCAGTGAGTGCTTCGCTGGGCCGAGAAGCAGCTGTGAACTGGGGGTGCCCGGGCTGGAGGTGGAGCCATCTGGAGGATGTGTTGCAGCAATGCCGGCAGGAGGTGGGGAGCAAGATGAACGTCGGAGCAGCACAGCCCCTGGGCCAGCATGGTGAGGCCCCGGCAGGTCTCAAGGGGTGACATGTTAGGATGTGGCTTACTGATGGGCAGGCAGGCAGGCAGCAGCCCCAGTGATGGAAGTGGGCGGCCAGGAGGGCTGATGGAGAGGCCTGGTGACAGAAGGATGCCTGAGGGCCTGTGCTCAGGGAGGTCGTCAGAACAAGGTGACGGGCCGTCTGCAGAAAAATTAGGATATCAGGCAGGTTATCAAGGCAGAGTTGCAGAAAGACAGAAACTCAACTTCTCCAACTGAAGTAGGAGCTTCATTATTAGAACTACGATCAGAGTAAGAAAGACGGATATACTAATGTGACTTTAGTTTCCGGCCTAGGATTGCTTACATTTCTCCTAATGAGTCAGAGGATTGCTGCCTCAGCCTGGAATGGACTAGATCCTCTAGGTGAGAGTCAAGTGGACCCCAGTATTGGATTGGAAGGTTAGAGGGGAAGCAATACCAAATGTTTTCTATTTTCCTGGTGATGGTGACATATTCGGTTTTCAATAAATATATAGATAGGCTGATTGAAAAAAGAACCTGTATGGATTTAATTATTATAAGTGATTTTCCTCCTGAGCTTTGAGGAGTTACATTTTCATATGACTGAAGAGGTATATGGAGGGGTAATTACAATCACTACTTTCTTGTCTCAACTTTAGCCATTTTGGGGCAAATTCCTGAGTATCTTTGAGCCTGATTGTCCTCAACCTATAAAATAGCAATAATAATAATACTGATGTTACAGGATTGTTTTAATACTATGGTCAATAAGAATATCCATAATTTCTTAAGCACTTTTGAGTCAGGCATTGTGCAAAGCAGTTGAAATACATTATCTCATTTAACTGTTGTGGGGAGTGAATGAGGCATCATAGTCAAGACACCTGGCTCAGTGCACAGCACAGTGCTCCACTCACACCCGTGGGGATCCACATGTACACTGATGCACAGTAGGAAGTGTATTATTAAGGGTCAGTGTGTAAGTAAGTGTTTTTAGAGGGTAGGAGGTGGAGTGATCAGGTAGACTGAGAGATGAGAGAAAGCCAGATCAGGTTGGCGGGAGAAACTAGATGGCATGTCAGTGACATGCCATGGGTAATTCTTTTTTTGAGAGTCCATCATCTCTAGTTACATAGTAGAACTGGTCTCAGAGACCCAGTACACTTTACGAACACGACGAGGTCTTCCCATGTGTGTCACCCAAGCGATACTGCCCTTATGTGTGATGCCGTGCAGTAAGGGGTAAGCTGGTCTCTGTCCCTATTACAGACATCCTTTGGGGAATGCTGGTTCGACCCAGTATCTCTCCAGAGGTCTCAGTGTAACTCAGGACTCCTGGCCATGTTGGCTTAACCCATTCTCTTGTTTGGGGTTTACCAGATGTGGAGACAAGGATTTTGCTGCAAGTGGTTTTTTTGGAGTTGATCCCAGGAAGCACTGTAAGCAAATGGGGAAGTGAGACAAGGAAGGAAGAAAAGCCTATAAAAGTTTGTTGAGAGGAAGATTTCCATGGTGGGTGACTGGGCTCACTCCTTCAGGGACCTTCTGAGAAGCTGTGAAGGGTCTGGATCCTGTCGTACCTCGTTGGGGGAGGTTGCATTTTACAGGCATTAACTGCCCAGCACTCTGCCCTCAGGTGGAATGATGAAGGTGCCCAAGAGAGGAAGCCATAGGTGTGTATGGCAACTGTCCCGAAAGCTGCACGTGCCTTTCCAGGGAGAGGTGGGATAAGGGGGTTGGTGGGGGGACTCTGGTAGGACCCCAGCAGCATCTGCTAAACCCACCTTCATATATTGAAGACATTCAAGTTTTTAAATCTTCTTTTCCTATTTGAAAGTCCTTAAAATAAACTGCCATTTTATCACAAAATAGGGCATTCCTTCACTCTTGTTAATACTTCATATTCCCTGAGTAGGTGCTGTTTGCCTTCTTCAGTCTCTAGTCGCTGTAAATATTTTCTTTCAGGTGGCCTTTCTGAACATTAATCTGCAAATGAGCAGAAAAGAAAGTCTGAATAGTCTCTATTAAAAAGTATTGAGGCATGAGCAGATCTCTGGAGTATGTAAGCCTAAAAGAAATAGTAATATTACATTCAGAAATGGACATTTTCAGCGAAAGGCAAAGGCGTGCACTAAGCATATGTCCCGGGGTTCCAGCTTGAAACTCGGGCTGGAGGGATCCTATTAGACGTCAGTGTCGGCACAGAGTCCTGCTCGCGTTTACCCTGCCTTCCAACCTGTGTACTAGGCAACAATGTTGGTTCTGCTAAATGAGAGAACATTTGATTGTAAATTTCTTTATTTGATGATTATCTTCTAAGCACACTGCAAGGACTCTGGGATTCATTGACTTTAAAGATAGTGATTAATCTTTAGAGTGAAAATGTTCTTGTGAGAACCTTCTTTCCTGTGCACAGTTGTCCCAGTACCCAATCCATACTTGCCATATCCATTCAGATTTCTAAGTATATTTGTCCTAAAAATAATCTAACTTTGCTGAAAGTAAGGTTTGAACTTGCAAGTAAACCTCCTTCTACTTGAGGTTTTACAGTCCTAGTTTCAAGATCATGTCTTGTATTTGTGAATCCCTGTTCTTAAATTTGGGAGGATCAGGTATGAAGGAAGAAATGAGAGAAGGGCGGACCCCATACTCAGTCTGGTGGGAGAGTGTGGGATACTGGACATGAGTTGCTTGATTCCACGGCCAAAGCAGGCTACGTCCCCTTACAGGGGTCCTGTTGCTGGGACACTGAGAAGGGCACTGGGCAACATAACAGGACTAAGCTTTGTTCAGTGTGGTATGCATGGGTAATGCTAAGCTCTCCAGGGGAAATCCAAGGATAATTTCAATCTTTTGTCTTTTTTACAAGACCTGTTCAGTAGCAAGAAGACTGGCTCATGGGACTTTCACAGCCTATGTCTTTCATTGTATACCTTTTGGTGACACGCTACCTATGTCAGGGAGAGGAGGTGAGAAAGGAGAAGACTGTTTATCCCTAACAGTCTACAACTAGCTCATGGAGAACAGATCTTCATAGTTGTTTTTCATTATACTTTGTGGATAACTTCAGATGTTTACAGACCTTCATAGTTACTTTTTCATTATACTTTGTGGATAACTTTAGATATTTAGGCTTTGTGGATAGTGACAGGCGTAATATTTGTGGCCCATTTCTGTCAAGTTTCAAAGTAGAATTTTATACTAGAAAGTACAAATTAGGCAAAAGAATTCTTTCTGAAGGCTTCAGATGATAAAAAAATGAAGTAAGCTGGTGGGATTCTCAAGGGAACATGATGTTCTAGAGAATTTGTGAAAGGCTGTGATTTGTCATAATCCATTTTGTCTTTACTAGAATTTGAAAATTACTCAGAGTTACCCAGCTTGCTGAGTATTGATATTTCACTTCTGGATATATTTTTTTGCACTGAATTTGTTTACCAGTGCCTTTCCGGAATATTTATTAGTAGGTTTTGTTAACAATTCCCTCTGACATGTAATATCTCTTTCATTCCTTTCTGAGATATTATTGATTTTATTTTCCTGAACACAATTTTATATGGTAATATCTGTGCAGAAGCAATTTGCCACGGTTCAAGGAACTGGATTCTTATGGACATTTGTCTTAGTAATGTGGCTACAGAGTCACTAACTTGATCTTAATAACATTTACCTACTACCATGTATTAGATGTATGAAAGGAAAACTGTGCTTTCTAACATAGAGGATTACCCTTGTGTATCTCCCTTAGTTGATAATGGTCTGCAAAATTAAATGTCCAGGTGATTTTGAGTGGCTATTGGCATTATTTGAAACTAGCTAGGATTAAATACAAGTAATTATCATCAATGTTGCATGCAGAGAGGAAATTACTTTCTTAGAACAACTCACAAAACTTTCAAATCATTGATTTGCAATATTTTGAGCCACACTGTACTTCATCTGATGCTGTTTTTACTCTGTTGTGGCTGCAGGAGGCAGCATGATACAGAAACTCAGAAACTCTAGTAAAACAGCCCTGGTTAGAATCTCACTGAATTATTCATCGTCTGTGTGAACTAGGGCCGTGTTCATCAACTAGCCTGGCCCTCAGTTCCCTCCTCTCTTCAAGGCAGCCTGACATAACAGCATCCATCCCTTTTCCTGTTTCCTATTTAAATATTGTAACTGCATCCTCTCATTGAAAAAACTCATTTCATTTTCAAAGCATTTCCCCTGTTTTTCTCTTAAAGCAGACAGTATTCATTTAAACAGATAACCCTGTCTACAAAAAGACTTGCACAAGATTATTGCTAGCAGCTTTACTTATGATATCCCCGAACCAGAAACAACCTACATGGTCACCAATAGGACAATGGATAAGAAAACTGTGGCATGTCCATGTGATGGAAAATTACTGGTCAGTAAAAGGAAAAAAACTACTGATCATCCACAAAATGGATGAATCTACAGACTTTATGTTGAGCAAAAGGAGCCAGATACCAAAGGGGGCATGTCTTTTTACATGCCTTTCTAAAACTAGCAAAACTCCTTTAGGGTGACAGGAATAATCAGAACACAGGTTACCTCTAAAAAGAGGGTCTTGACTGGAAAAGAGTGTGAGGGAACTTTTGTGGGTGAGAAGAATGTTCCGGGTCTTGACTTGGGGTCTGCATTTCTCAGAACCTGTTGGACTGTGCGGCTGAGTGTTGTACTATGTACAAATTATACTTCAATTCGTAGAAAAGACAACTCACCTGTTGGTTCAATGTTTCATTTTCTAATGGCTAGCTTTTGGGATTCTCAGGACGCAGTGACCATCTGTACTCTGGGGATGGGGACAGCCTTCGGAGAGTCCATCCTGGACAACACGCCCCGCCATGCGACCATTGTCACCAGAGAGAGCAGCGAGCTGCTCCGCGTCGAGCAGAAGGACTTCAAGGCTCTCTGGGAGGTGAGCCCCGGGGCTTCTCTGTCAATTAATGTAGCTGCAGAAAGGAAAAGGGGCCGCCCACGGATAATGGCATTACAGTCAAGCCTTAATGTGTACTCTTCTGAGCCAGTGGATGGAATTTAATTTTAATAACTTGTTTTTGAAATGAGTGAGTGAAAAAGCCATTTGACACAAGACATTCCCCCCACTTTTTTTTTTAATTTAGTGCTTGCTCAATTTTCTGTAGTTTGACATACCTTGTAATTATTTCTTGAATGACCACAGAGTGTTTTATGTATTTCCTCCCTCCTATTCCACAGATGTATTCTTAACCAGGGAACAAAATACTTTGACATTTTCTTTTACATTTTAAAAATCATCACTGACATGTTCTCTGGTACAGTGGAATGAGTGGGGTTAACATCTGCTTCATTTAAATGCTTTTTAAAATGAAGTGCCTGTAATAAAGTATAGGAAATGAAGGACATAAAGGCATCTGGGTACTTGCCAACTTCAGAATGCAGAGGTGGCACAGCAGTGGGTGGATACAGCCGGTCCTGGTGGCTTTTGCATTTCCCGCTGCTTCCCGGAGCCCCTCAGAGCTGTGCGCTCATTTACAGGAAGTCCAGGGAGTAATTCATCTTAGAAGCAGTAATGGCAAATGGAGCACTTAGAAAGGCCCACTAAACCTTGCATTTTTTTCACTCATTCCTTTTCAGTCCTTCAAGCTTCTCACAGGAGCCTGCGGTCATTCCTCATGCATGTCCTTGGCTCAGTGTGTCCAAGTGTTAGCCCATCGGGCTGCAGGCCACCACTTGTCCCAGTGTGGCCAAGATTCCAGACTTGATCTGAAAGAATTTTGTGTAATCAAATAGTTTCCTCCAGAGACAAATAAATGACAGATGCACTAAGGGAGCAGACCTGCAGGTGAATGAGCGATGCTTTGGCTTAAAAATCCTGCAAAGCCTTGGAAGGCCTTGGTGGTGAAACCTGTTACTTTTATTCTTGGTAGTAGTGAATAAATTGCAGGGTTACTTGTTTGAAATGTTCCTCTTAGAAAATATTAAAGAGCTCCAACTGCTCTGCAAAGTTCAGAGACAAAGCCTAGTTTTAGGAAGGCAGAACTAATGCAGGTTTGCACGAGGTGTGTGTGGAGAGGTTTTCTGTCAATTAAAAGGGGCCACGCTTGAGGGAAATAAGCCATTTGTTCCATCTTTTATTTTAAAAGGTAAACTGAAAAGTCTGTTCCAAAAAGAAAATTTGGATAACTGTTTTAAGAACAGAAATGATTCCTACCTGTGATATATGTCATTATAACTGCTTTTGTGTGTGACTTATTCAAGTTGCTGATTGAGGATGGTTTGTGGAAATATTTAAGTTTATTTTAATTAGAAGCTCTCAGTACTGTGAAGGAAGGTCCTGAGAAGTTGCAACCAGTGAGCATTAAAAAAAAAATCTATTATTAAAACATTTTTCAAACATACAGAAAATTGAAAAAGATAATACAATGCACATTCGTATACCTACTTAGTCCAGCAATCACTAACATATAGCCATATGGGTTTCATCTTTGTTTTTTGCTGAACTACTTTAATATAAACAACAGACATCATGATGTTTAGTTATAGCTCCAAAAAATTAGAATATCCTGCTATATACCCATAATTCCATTATTTCACCTGCAAGACTAAAGATAATATCCTAATATCTAATATCCCTTCCACAGTTCAAGTTTCCTCACAAACATCCACAAATAAATATTTATTTATTCCATAAATATCATATCTGTTTTATTTCAAACCAGGCTCAAATAAAGAACCATGTCTTACATTTGCCTGTTGTATCTGCCAGTCTCTCTCTCTCTCTCCCCAACACCCTTTGTCTCTACTCTGTTTCTCTCTCTGAGGTACTGGCTGACTTGTTAAAAAGGCCAAGTCAGTTTCTCCCAAATTCAAGATTTGTTTGATTGTTGTCTCATGGTATCTTTTTTGTACCCCTACCCCAGGGTTTCCTGTAAATTGAAGTGAGAACTAAAAGTTTGATTAGATCAAGTCTAACATTTTGGGCAAGAAAATGTCAAAAGTGATACTGAATACATCTCTATTGGTGATACATTAGTTTGATTAGTTGGATCCCTTGGTTAGATTTTATCTGAGTTCATTTTAGGCCTATTTTCACAGATATTTCCCTTAGAGGAAAATTACTAAATGAAGGTGTCAGTATTGAGGCTGGTCCTTGGTATCCCCAACGCTGCCACATGATTTTGCAGCTCTGTGGGTCCAAGCCCTCACTTGTAACCTCAGAGGATGATTACTGATCTTTCCTGGCTGAGAGTTAGTGATCTTAAAGGATGGATAGAGTTTTTAGTCTGATCTTTTTATTTTACAGGTAAGAGATGGAACCTCCTAGTGAGAAAAAGATTAGTCAGATGCTCATTTTAGTTTCCTGTTCATGCAGCTAAGCACACAGTGCAAATTAGGTGCTCAATCAACATTTTAACTGGCTAAACTGAAAATGCAAGGAACTCCATTATCTAGCAATCCATGTTAGTCAGAACTTTATTAATGGACACACTTGTGTATATATAGTACATGATAATCCCAAGAAATCATAAAACTAAAAATAACTTCTGAATAAAAAAGATTCGCTTATGTTTATTCTGTTGTTCAGTTTTCCAACACATAAGTATCGAGCATTCCCAGTGAGTCAGACATAGCTATGGCAGTGGAGACTGCCAGCGGAGTGCCTGCTTTTTGGGTCAGGGCTTTTGTTCTACTTGGAAGAGTCAGAAAATAAACTCACAAGTCAGTAATACTATTTCAAGTGTAATGTATCATTATCACTAAATAAATTTTATTTCTATTCTTGGAATATGGGTAATCCATTTATAACATATGTATCACTACTCTGCTAGCAAAATAACTGATAACCAGGAAACCTAGTCCTTGATTTTATCAGATAATAGAGTTTATAATTTAGCCATTCATTACACTGGCAAATAATAATCTGTTAACAAAACTAACCCAGGCTCATATTATTAGCTGAAATCCAAGTTAGGTCCGTTAGCCAAATATCTGAAGGGCAGGATTATGTAGGGAAGGATTACATAGATTCAGGAAATCAGGTAGAAGCCTCACTGAATTGTGAGATAGCAGGAGGAAGGCACACAAAGGTAAGATGGATAATGCCTCTTTCACTGGCAAGCTAAGGAGCTGTGTGTTAGGATATAGGTTTGAATAGTAAAAATTAGATAATCTGAATCATGGGTCTAAATTGTATATTCATCTCGTTTGACTGCTTACTTTTACGCAATGTCATGGTGGACCCATTGTATAGCAGACACCCCCATACTTAGCTTTGTCTCCTTACCTGTGTCCTGATGCCACCCAAAGGGAACAAAGAATAAGACACCAGGACCAGGATTCAGAGTTACTTCTGACTGAAAACTTGGTCCCTAATCACAAACTGTAGCTCTTTGATAGGCTGAGCTAATAGTCTGCTTTAAGTCTATTTTAAATCACTGTGACTTCAATGGTGGCACAAAGCAGGGGAATCCTGCTTCCTTTTCTGACCACAGGCATGGCTCCTAGGCTCTTCTGCAGATATACCTCAGAGAACTACACGTGAGATTTTGAAATCCTACTCAACTTCATCTTTAATGCCTCTTACTCTTTGTCATGTTGTGAGTCAAATTGGTAGCACCCAGAGTATTAAAAAAAAACTATCATCAGAAATGTGACCAGAAGCATTACTCAGTAGTTTCTACAAATACATCAAATAAGGTAATATTCCCCAAGCTGTAACTGAAGTAGCAGCTCGATGCTGTTCTTTGTGTCTATATCTCTCCTAAGGAAGATCACTTTCTTTCCTCCTCCCTTTCCGTGTTTCAGTGGCCAGTCAAGGGTCAGATTTGGGGGCACTGGCTTGCTCCGTCTTAAAGCCAGGTTATATTTTCTTAGCTTAAATGAATTACAGTAAGTTTATTTAGAGTTAGTCAACAGTACTTCCCTCTTTTCATGCCTCTTTGATATTAAACTTAATAAAATATATTAACTGGGTATAAAACATCTTATTTTTCAGGTAGTATCTGAGGGTAGTATCAGAGAGAGAGGACATAGTTATGTTTCTGAATTTCACTCAGAATAAAATTAATTAAGTCTTGAATACCATTTTTAGTTCTTGAGACAGTTATGATTTAAACTCCTGACACTAGTAGCATTGTACGCCATCAGTAAGCATGTTAAATGGCAAAGTAGTCAAGTGTAGGATTGGGAGTTTGAAGGCAGTTATCAATATTTCTTCCAGGATTATGGGTATTTATGATTGCTGGTGGTTCTTGGGATACATAAAGGACTGATTTACTGTCTAATTCCCTGAATTTCTTCTCAGTGCAGATGGTATAAGAAGGTTTCCTATGGTTAGAACAGCAATAGTGAGGGGTATTTTGGTTTTCTTTTTGACTTTTTGCCTAACATTGTGTCTGTCTGAAGATGCTTTCAACTTTCTGGCATGTGTTGACATCTTTACATGGATTATTCCAAATACATGAAATTGAATGAGATCAGTCCAGTGTTTTCAGAGTAGATTAGAGAGGCACTCTTGTTCAAATTCATAATAGACACTACTGAGAGGTCCTTGAACTAGTGGTCTACTGCCATTGTACTTGTGTTTCAGTCATATGATCCTCATTTTCTGGACAAAAATTTTCTTTCACTGAGCCACGTTTGAGCATGTTTACAATAATAATACATATATATGAATAAGTTATTTAAAATTCAAAGACTACAATAAAATTAGTCTTTAAAAATAAAGGCAGTATTTTAAATCTGTAGTCTGACCCATGCCAAAATAAAAGTTGTTTTGTGGCTATAATTGTTACCCAGAAACTTCTCGTTTCATATTGATCCTAAGCAGAGCATCCCATATCACAGAGAACCATTGCTTGCATGTAATGCTTGAAATAGTAAAGTTTATTCCCCAGATGTGTCTGTGGCCTCAGCAAACATTGTGAGCTGACCAAA